ACACGTAATGCGGATTCATATAGAAACTGAACTATGTATCATCTAAAGTCCTAACTGTATGAGTTTCTATCTGTGCATTTGAAATTTAAAATAAATCATGCGGATTCATATAGAAACTGAACTATGTATCATCTAAAGTCCTAACTGTATGAGTTTCTATCTGTGCATTTGAAATTTAAAATAAATCACTATTTAATTGGAGAATTAATACCTTATAAAGTATTTCCTTCCTCCTTTATGCATCCCTTTGTAGTGTAACGGTAGCAGACTTGGCGCGTACTCGAGAGGTTCAGGCTCGAGTCCCGGCGAGGGCATTGCTCATGTTTCGTGTTTTCTGCTTGAAAATAACCTAATGACTCTACAACGTTAGAAATAGCCTTGTAATGAATGCTTGTTAAAATCACCTTTTTCGCTTATTTGTATGTAACGTATATATACGTAACGTTATTCAAATAAGATTTAAAGTAAAAGATTCTTAGGACTGTTTTCCCAGACGACAAACAAGTGGTGTTAAAGAGAAAGACGAACATAAACTATTAGCTTGAAAATAATTTATTTTCTTATTCCCAAACTGGAAATAGTCAATTTTTTTACTCCCAAAGAAAAGTCTTATTCAAAGTTTTGACTGGCTTTTGAGATACGAATTAAGCAAATAAGTCATAATTCCGTATAAAGATATTTGATTCAACTTTCTGAAGTAATTTTATTATATAGTTGTCATTAGTCTATGAAACTGTTAAAGAAAATAAAATGCACTTATATATGTATAACATAAGAAAAGGAAGAAAAAACAGGAACCCTGTTAATGCGTACTTAGATCCACATTGAAGTTCTGATTGGTAGTATGATTATGTGTTGACTTCGTTAGTATCTAAAAAACTTGGCAGTCGATGCAGTTTTAATTTCATTTTTATTCGCAATTGATATTTGTGGCCGCAGTTCACTTGACACTCGAGGTGTGTCTATTCAAGAACATTTACATTTTTAATATTATTGCAATAGCAAGCAGCATAGCGAAATTACGTCCAAGCAAAGCAGAAACAGAAGCTAATTGCGTAGTTATACAAGATGGAAGCACACGAAGACAAAAACTTTGGTTTACGATGGTCGTTTCAGTTCCCAATTATTACGTTATTAGAGCTGCGCAGGCCATAGAATGATTTAGAAATGACGCAATCCAGAGAAGTTACTGCAATTTTTAAAACAGAGAGAGAGAATTAATTTTTTTCCGTTAGTCTAAATTATAATTTTGATTCACATATTTTTTATCTTACATATATGTATATATATATTGCTTCTAAATGACTTTTCGGTATGAGTTTGCTTAGGCGCCAAATTTAATTTATAATAGAAAAAGGAATAAAAGTATTTCATATATGTAATGATAACCCCGACTTTTTTATGCGTTTAAAGGTTGTTTTCTAAAAATTCGAGTTATGACTTTTGCGTAATAGTTCCCGATTTCTTAAAAAATGTTACATATAGTAATTCATCTAATAAAGAACTGCATACGGACAGCAAGAACTGAAACTTTCGAATTCCAGAATAACGTTGATGGTATTCCTATTATCAATGAAACAACATTAGGTAACGAATAAAGTTAAGGTACACACCTTTCGAATCTTAAAATGTAATAAATGTAATCTTAAAATATTTGAACTTTAAAAAGAAAACTAGCCCTAACTTAAATCGGAAAAACGACCACCAAAAACATTGGTGTAAATTATTATTTTTCTCGATTTTTTAACTACTTCAAATGGAGGACCAACAATGCACTCGAGTAAGATAAGACAAGTGAAACATCCAATGAGAATTCTATTGTTGAATTTTAAAAAAATCTAAAATTCTGTATTTTTAAAATGTTTTAATGAATTCAACTACTATATATATGCAACTTTTTCACAGTAATTTCTCGCGTAATCTTCAGTACTTAGCTTTTCTATACATTCTTGCTGTCAAATATACCTTAAGGAACTCGTAGAAATCGCAATAAAACTGGCATCTAAAATTAAAGATTTAATTTGTATGTAAAATCAAGTATTTAAAATTTTGGATAATAATAAAATTTTAATTCGTATGAATTAAATGAAATAACTGGAATAAAGACACTTAGATCATACTAATCTACCTGAAGTTCCTTAAAGAAAATGTAGTTTCTAATTTATGTTATTATTAATACTTCAAAACTTCAGGTTCAGGAATGTGATTCCGATTGGCATCTTTTTATGCGCCCCTCTTAATGGACTACTACGGTTTCCTTTGATTGCCATATCAACCGTGATAAATGTTTGATTTGGGAATGAAATTTCTGTTGCTTTCTTTTTAAAGTTAGAAAGGATATTATTCTTTTCTCTCTTGTTATCTAATCAAGTATGTAATTTTTTGCATATAAAAATTTTGAGTTTGGAAAATTTTCACTCTTAGTAAGATGCAGGTATGCTTTTGTGAAGACATCTGCTATGCAACATATCTTTCTAATTTAACTAATTTCGGCATAAATGTCTGAGAATATTCTTTTCTGTTGGCATTCATTGTCATTTAAAACAAAATTCTATTTAAATCGAATGCTGTTTTTACGATTTTTTACGCTGACAATCAGTGGTAGTAAAATATGTCTATTCAGATTGGAACAATTCCATTATTTGCAAACATTCCTCCAAACCATGCAAGTATTCTGAATTTCCATAAAGAACAAGCTGCCTAATAATAATTTTTTAAAAACCTTTGTTATATATCATCATATATTATACATTAACTATATATATTATCATATATTAACACTATAAATATATATACATTAACTATTATATTATCATATATTAACACTATAAATATATTATACATTAACTATATATATTATCATATATTAACACTATAAATATATTATACATTAACTATATATTATTAGTTGGCATTATATACATTTCAAAGTTTGTTGCATCATTTACGTATTTGGTGGATATTGCGTAGCATATTAAATAATGAAATATACACGAGAAAAGTTGAAAATTCACCAGCTTTGAGGAATCAAGTGATCTTTGTAAAATTTTAGTAGATATTTAAAATTGTTTAACAGTTTATATATTAGTCACAATTCCACTTTGCTTGATCTATGAAGATCGCATTATAGTGTACGTTCAGATATGACCTATTAGCAAATTGTATTTCTCCGTGCTTACGGGTTCGTAATGAACTGAATGCACACAGAACTGATGTTAGTTTAATAAAATTTATTTTCCCAAAAGAAACTAGTTTCATTTTTGGAACATTCCACAAAAGCATTCGTGCAGCTCTCAGTATTACAGAGAACAATCAGTAATTATACTTAAAACTACTAAGAACGTTAAGCACAACACGATGTAAAGTACGTATAAAAAGCGAATCTCAATAGTCTGAAGTCAACTCTGAACTACAAATTGGCTAGCTGACCATCTGTTTTGATTGAATCAAACTGAGAAATCGTTGTTTTACTTCTGTGGTATTCATGCAAACTTTTGAACTTCAAATTATATCATTTTGAACTACACAAAATATCCACGGACAGTTCTGATTACTTTTTCTCTCGCATTTATGTGAGAAATTTTATGTGAATTTACTTATTTGCAGTATTAGCAGCCTGATTAAAATCTATAAAAGCAGATTTTATTCTTCGAAGAAATTTTATGATTTATGAGTCGATTTTACATTTCATTACTTTTATTACTGCACCTTTTTAAAGCTTCGGAGGTAATTTCATTCGTTGATTTGTAGAGACATTAGGTTATTTCGAAGCAAGAGATATGAAAAATGAGCAATGCCCTCGTCGTGAATCGAACCTCTCGAATACACCCCGAATGTACTGACCATTACACCACGAAGGCACTCCCCCTTTTAAAGAGCGACTGGACCCCAGTCGCCAAATCCTGGTGATGAAGAATCATCGTCCAACACCTTTTTTTAGTTCGGGGCGCCACTGTTGTAGACATTAGGATTTTTTTCTAAACAGGAGAAGAGACAAATGAGCACTGCCATCGCTGGGACTCGAACCTCTGTTCTCTCGAATACGCACCGAGTGTGCTAACCGTTGCACCACGAAGGCATGCTGAAAAGGCGGGAGAAATGCTTTATAGATTCAATATTGATCTTTGTTACATCAACCATGGATGAAAATCTCTAAACTTGTTCTAACATAGCAGCGAAATTTTGCGGGGTTTTAAAATAAATACCAAGCATAATGATCCTATTAAATTCAACCCTGTTCCAAACAATGGTAAACGATTTTTTTAAACAACTGACAAGCTTTCTCATTCTAAAATTGAGGATGTTAGGATCTTATAGTAAGTTTCTAAAACTTCTTTCTTTCGCGATAGCTTTCTTCATATGAAATTTTTGTGATATCTTCACTTGAATGAAAGTTCTATTTTCCAGAATTACACGGTATTTATAATAAGGTTAAAAAATTAAGAAATATCTTTTAAAAATAGATTACCCATTTGAAATTAGAAGCAATTCTTTTAAACAATGAATCATTTTGAGAAATTTCACAGCAAACAGGAATACAACATAATTACTTATGTACTTCAAAAGTCGAATTATGTAATTACTCCTAAAATATAAAATTTTACAATACTTCTGAAATCACCAACTAATTTTTTTCACACATGCACACACCCTTTCCACTAGTGGTTCGCATCATCTAGTTTTAGAACCCCTAATTCATAAAAAAATACTTAGAAATAAAATATGGAGTTACATATTGATCACAAGCTTCTCGTTGTTATCTGAATCTTTATTTTCGAATTAGGTAATATTATCTGAAATTTTCCATTATTACCAGTTATTTGCCTTTCTATCTGTTTTTAAGATACATAAGTAATAATGGCTTTCGTTTGCCAGAGCACTCCTGATCTAGTTTCATCAAAATCTACAGAACTTTTATCTCATACTTCCTTATCGTTTATATGTGACCACGTGATGATAAAAGGAACTTTGTTCTCAAACATCAGTAAGATCCAGCAGTTTTTTTCAAGCACGATTGAAAAACTTGTTTAACATCTACATATCGAGCAAAAAACAGGAAATCGTTTTCACAAGATCCCAGGCGTACCTTAATGTACTACCATGAGAGTGACGCTCTGCTTCTTTCTGAAACTTTATTTGTCAAAAAATTTCGGATACGCCAATTGTGAAAATACTTTTTAAAGTAACTGAATTTGATTTGCGAATTGTGAAACAGAACATCTGGTATCACAATGGGAACAGTTATCATTGAATTAGATAAAGGCAAGATTTGACAGAGTCTGAATTTTGTTATTACAAAGGTAGTACTAAAAAATTTTAGTTTAAACATTTTCTGATATCTTTTGAATACTTTCCCCTTTTCATCTTTCTTTACACATACAAAATTAACTACAAAAAATTCAAATATTGTATTTGATGATAATCTTTTTTCTTATTTTCCCTTCATATTTTCTATTTCAATTTTGGATTGCGTATTAAAAGAAAATGTTAACTTAAAAGCATGTTAAAAGTAGCATTTTGTTTTAGTTGTTAATAAATTTGAATAATTTCAGAAGTAGCTTCAGTGTCTACTAAAATTCATGAGAAATTAAGCTAATTTTATTGTTTAACCTGTTTTGATAAATCATTATTGTACTTTACAGTAAAATTTTTAAAAAAAAATTGCAAACTTACAAAATGCAAAAATATTAGTTTATTAAAGACAAATATTTCAATAAATATTGTGTTGCATTTAAATATAGAATTTTTGTCATTGCTTATAATGAAAAGATCTTTTTGTTAGGATTTCACTATGTTTAAGACCTGTTTACGTGCTTTAAAAATCTTTGGGATGACTTTAGAAACTGACAGTTCGTCAAAAACTGTCTATCATGAATAAAAAAACATTTCCTTGCATTCAGACGTGAAAACAAATGAACTGCTTTTCAGTATCTTGTTAATAAAGTACATTTGACATTTTCGAGGTTAATATTGTAAAACTTTATGCACCTTCAAAAGATTTCATAAGCCATGTTACTTGGAACATTTCTTTTGCATTGAAACTAACAGCAATAACTGCATACTAACTGCGTGGAACAATGGCAATGCATGCTCTAGGTACACTTGGAGCTATAATTCTAGCCGCCATTTTGTTTTCTGTGCCTTTAGTACTGAAGTACCATGTTTACAAACCAGAAATGAAACGAGTAATAACAGGAGATGTGGAAGTCGTCGAAGGCCCCTTTTCCACTGTCTGGTGCCAAGAAGTTGAGTTGCAATCAGATTCAAATTACAAATCTTTCTTATATGAATCTGATCCTGAAGTTAACGAGGAGGTTTCAGAAAGGATGATAGCTACACAAAGAATTATTTTACCAAACAAAGCTCAAAAATACCTCAGATTTCATCTGCTTCAAGGTTCAAAAGTGAATATGTCATCCTGTTCTCGCTTGTCTGGAGCTGGAGTTTCGGTTGTCAAGGGATATCATGAGCTTCAAAATTGTCTTAAAGAACACAGGTAATGAATTTGTTTTAAATTATCTTTCATTACATTTACTTTTTCTTTCCCTACTGCATGCACTACTACTGCAGCAATGAAAACGAAGTAGTCTGTGATGCATCAAAATATATGTATTTCTCAAATTAATTCATGCAGTTTTCATTCTGCATTTTAGAATATTTTCTTTAAAATTTCAGTACTGTTCAAAAATATTTGTCCAAATGATGAATATTTCAAAACTTGTGCCTAAAGTCTAAATATTTATTTAATTGAATTTAACTTATTCTTTGGTTACTCCTGTTCCACGCAGATGTTAATTATCAAATCGTAGAAGATTAAACCAAATTAAATTGTAGATGCAATCCTGCGCTCTTAGCCAGATAAAATTAGTAAATTTATTGTGAAGAAGTGATATAAGTCATAGCAACAACTGTAAGAGAAGTGATATAAGTCATAGCAACAACATCAAACCAAACAAAAATTTTTACTAAGATGTCAAAATGCAGACTGTAGCTTTAAATATTTGCTGCAAATGGCAGAGACTATATGAAAAATTGAATCTTAATAATAAAAACTCTTAAACGTTCGTCACTTTTCATAGAGATTGTTAATTTAACAATTGTTAAGATTTAAACTAACTAACCGCTAATAGACACCTTGTCAGACTGCTTTGTTAACCAATAAATTCATAAGTAACAGCACAGCCTGAGCTTTTTCACACAAAATCCTCTTACAGAGAAATTTTCGGAATAACTATTTGAACAATCCACTTCCGGATGCCCATTAAACTATTAAAGGAATTTAAGTAACAAGAAAAGAATTTTTACATACAGGAGGGCTATCTTCCTAAAAGGATCGGAGCCTTTTAGGAATCCTTCCTAAAAGGATTCCTAAAAGGATTGATGATTGTAAATTTTCATCTCAGCAACTGATAGATATAAGCCAGGCATTACCTTTCCGTTCCATTTATTAAAAAACTAGATTTCGTGGTGGTACAGCATAAAATATGTTGTTATAAAATGTCGAAATCTTAAATATGAGAAAAGGAAAAAACGCAGACTTCCGATAAAGATGTCCTTTACACAGAAAATTCTCTTAGGTTGGTTAATATATATTCCTTGCATCAAATTGTATGCAATAAAATTGTTTCATTGGACATATTTTTTAATTATTTAAATAAGGTAAATTAAACTTTTTTAGAGGACAAGTTTTTTAGAGTAACTCAGAGAAAAAATTATTTAAAAATTAATTATTTAAGTATTTATTAAATTCTTTCTTATCACTACATTTTTCTCTATTTCACCATCCAATTCGACATTCTCCAATTTCGGTCTTTCCCGGTAACATATATGTAGCTAAAATGGCAAAAATAAAAATCTATCTCTTAAATTAGTAAATCCTATAAAATTAGACAAAGCCACTGCTTGTCTTCTGTTTGGCGTATATTTTAACAATACTTTAAACAATATTTTATATTATACGCTTTTTAGATTTCAATGACAACAGGTACAAATCCCGCATCATCAGGAGGAGAAATTCAGTGATCTTTGGTCTTTGCTTTGCCGCTGGTGCACAACTTCTAAGAATCTTAACGAGTAAATTAAAAATTTTGCCCTAAGGCCAATTGCGTTAATTTTAGAGAAAATGGTCACATACTCGAAGGCGAAGGTCTTACGGTGACAAAGTCAGGCGGTGCCGCCCAACCGGTATAGTGGTTAGCGTCGCTGACTGCCGTGACGAAGAGCCCGGGTTCGAATTCCGGAGAACGCATGGATGTTTGTAAATGTATACTGTCCGTGCGATATGAGGGCACTCTAAACATAGATGGTGAGCTGAGGTTGATGGTAGCGGAAGAGGGTTGGGAGACCCTCGGACCCGCACCCACCCCCGGAGTGCTCTTCACCAAAATTGGGGACTGAACTGAGTTAAATCGCACTGTCACCTGTAAGGTGCTCAATTGTTGCCAGCGACAGGACGTAAACTTAGGCTCATTGCCCCGAGGAATTTCGTGGGCTTGGGCTGACTATAGGTCAGTCAAGTGAGCATTAGCAACAACAACAAGAACAACAATTCAGGCGGTCGATGTAGAGATGCAAGAAAGTTCCAAGGCAAATACATTTTAAAGCATTTTTGTAACGACAATTTTAGTAAGCAATTAATTTTCCTTGAAAGCAGTTCGTAAAATGGCATTTCCAATTGGCATGTCTTTTTCTTTCAGACATGAAGAAGCATGTAGTGTACTAACTGGCGTAATGGCGAATTCATTATCTTCTTGAAAGAGTAAAAAATAGCAATTTATTCTGCGATTTTTCTTCAGTTCACCTTCACAACAAAGAAGGAAGCTATATGTATACCAAAAGCAAAAAGAAAAAGAAACGAGGAAACGAGAAGGTAGCGCCATCTCTCCAATAAAATAGTAACGAAAAGGGGGAAATTAAGTTGATAGCATTTTAAAAATGTTAGGAAGAACTGGATTGGAATTAAAGTCATTAGCTAAATAAAATAAATCTTTGTGAATGTCAAAAGCTTCCAAGAAATTCATTTCACCAACTGAAGAAGTTTTTTGGCTAATTCTTGCAGACCTAAATTGCGAGTCAAAACTGTGATTACATTTCTAAACGCTGTTTGTTTGAGCCGATATATCTCAAACTCCATTGGCAAGCTATGCTGTAATGTTCTCCAGGAATTAAAATTAGAAACGGGATCTTAAAGAACCGAATAATTTTTTTTTTTTTTTTTTTTTTTCATAGGTAAGAAAATGACTTCCAAACTGAGCTTCTGGAGAATTTAGTGCAATTTTGTAACTAATAGAAGAATTAAATGGAAGAATAACAAGGTTGTTAATGTTATTTCTTCTAACAGTGGAATTATAAGGTATTTCTCCCGCCTACTTAGAATGCCTTCGTGGTGTAGTGGTGAGCACTCTCAGCGCGTATTCGGGAGATCCGTGGTTCGAGTCCCCGGCGAGGATGGTGCTTATTTTTCTGCTTAAAAATATCATAATGGCTTTACAGTAGCCCTCGAACCATAAATGACGGTGTAGTTTCACCTCTTGTAGTTTAAGAGTATATATTCCATTTTGTCTTGCGTTTTGCTATTATTTCCGTTTCTTTTCATATTTTGCTTTTATTCACATATTTGTTTATAAACTGATATTCTTTCTATTTTTATGTTTACTCATTTTTTATAATTTGAAATTGACTCTGAATGAGGAAGGTTTACATTATTAAATACTTTCTTTTTGCTTAATTAAGCCAATTTAAATATATATACAGGATAATTAATTAGAAAACTCGAATAATAAAAATTACTAATTATCTCTTATAAGAATGCATATAGAGCTGCGGTTTATGGAGACTAATAATAAGACTAATAGTGAGCATGAAAAAACATAATGTTCGATATTTCGATAGTAATACAATAGCTATTTATAATCAAGTCGTAAAAAGAGTAAAATGATAAAATGGTAAACTAGGGGGGAGGGAGAGTGGTAATAATATAACATTAGAAATAATAATGCTCCTCAATCTAAAATAAGCAAATTATCATGTATGTCCAAAAACTTAAGCCACAAAGAAAAATTAATCAAGTAAATCATATTAAATCTCACTGTTAATATTGGAAAACAGCAGTGGAATACTAGTGGTACATCATTAAAATAAAAATAAATATTTGATTATTTATTTCATTGATAATAGATGCTATCTGGTAAGTTAAATAAAAATAGCTTTCTCTCAGGTTTTTAAAACCAAATCTTTGAAATTTTATTTTTTAAAAGTGGTTATTTTATTCTGGAATTTATAAAGTAAAAACGCAAATGAATTCTTGTCATTTAAAATTTCTTTGCAGCTTCAGGCTTCTAAACATAGACCTTATTCTTTACTAGGATTTATTTAGAAACGGATGAGGACATCAGTGGTGAGGACAGTCAGTCTGAATCTGAATCCGACGATGTGACATCTTCTATTTCTAGCAGTCAGGGAGCAGTGACAAACGATTCGGATCGACCGTATTTTTGCAAGAACTCCTTGCACCATGTTCAACTTCCATCAACGTATAAGTGTAATTCTAAGTACTATGAGACATACAGAAAATTCACACTTTTTCACAACATCGAAGAAACTGATTATTATTATTACATATTTTCTTCTCATACTTATTTAGATATTCTTCCCAATGATTTCTCCATAGAATTCGTGATCGACAGAACTCACTACGCATATGAAACTAGTATCAGCAACTGCTCGAGAGACAGTCAGTGTCGTCTTGCCATGCCACTTGCTTCACAGCGAAGGATTGTTGTGCAAATGGAGGGTTTCAATGGAACTCTCAAAGATAAAGAGCTCAAAATTATTTGCAAACCAAGAGAGTTATTGTTCTGTATATTTTACGCCGGTTTCTTAATAGTAATATTTTTGTGTGCCTTTCAGTAAAATAAAATTTATTTTATATTCTTGTGTGATATTTAATTCAAAAAATTAATAATATAGGATTATTTGGAAGTTTATGAAATATTTTTAAATAACAGATAAACTAAGTAACGGGAACTAAATTTTATCATTTAATTATTTTACTGAAGGATTATTAAGCTCATTAACTTGTTCATATATTTTACATTGTTCAATATATCCTCCCTTAATATATAAGACAGATACCTATACATTACTCGTAGGATTTATTTGGACATACTGGAAAGCTGGCTGGTTCAACAGTTCAACGTTTGCTTCTTTCAACAAGATATTTTCCTAGTTCATTACCACTTAGATCATTATTAAGGTAATTTGTGAAACTATTTCAGTCAAAACTTATTACAAAAGCAAAGATCATTAGGGAGAGTATCTCAATCACAATCTATCGCTGAGGTGGATAAGGCAAAGTCAGGATGCATTGATGCATTAAGCCATCATGTCTCCACAGAATAGGTGAAGTCTACAAAAATGACTATGTGGCCATCCAAGCCTTAGGTTAGGTTAGGTTAGGTTATTTAATTACGGCAAAGCCTCGAGGGCTATCTGCCTAAGGGGAGGGATGTCTTCGTGGAGTATTTTCTAAGGGAAACTGGCTCGTATACACGTTTCACATGGGGAAAACCACGAAAACACCCATGCAGCCAGCCCGTTCGCGGGATTCGAATCTCGGACTGAACTACCAGTGTTCAACGACTTTACCGCTCGGCCGCTGGTGGGACCCTAGTCTTAGGATTGAGCTCAAGAATAATTTTCTTATGTGAATTTGTCAATGATTCTGTCTTTAGGCCTCTATTTCGCATGAATGTTTAGGAGCTTTAAAGCCCTATCACTAATATTGTAGCGTGGCAATACAAACAAGAGTGGTTGAATGAAACGATAAATTGTGTAGATATTCATCGTTTCAGTCGTCGTTTCAGCAAACATGTATAGATTGAGTATTTATGAAACGTATTTAAAAACGTTTGGTAAGTTTGCCTGTATTTCAGAATAAGAAAATTTAGAATCAGTTGCGTAGTTTAAATAGTACACATTTTTAGAAGTTTTCCCACATGTGGATAATCCTATATTTTTACCGCCTTCTTCTTACAGAAATATGTACTACAAATTTAATTTCATTTTAAAAAATAAAAAAGGTGCTTTGAATGAGGAGTTATGTAAAAAAAAGTTTCAAAGTTTCAAGTTTCTGAAAGAAGCATACTGTGACACATCAGTTTTTTTAACATCATATAGCAACTGCGAGAGCTTACCGCTTTCACTTACCATCCTCATCTCTGCTTCTACTAAGAACCAAACTTTGGTTTCTACTAAACCAAAGTCTGAATGAATACCCAATTTCATTTTCTTGCCCTAAAACATTTTACAAACCTAACAGTTTTATGTTATCTTCAACTTGTAATTTACAGATTATAATTTACTGCTACTTGCAATTAGGAAAGTAATGTATGGGTTCATAGTATGCACTTACATTAGCAAGTAATAAATTAACATACAGAGGACCATTCCCACTTGTTTAATCAGACATAGTGTAGACGCTGAAAGCAAGAATATTTTGCAGTTGGGTTAGGCAGTCTTGTAAGAAGTTTCTCCTTTTTTACCACGTGCCTTCGTGGCGCAACTGAAAAGCACATCCAATCAACAGTCGGCAATCCCGGAGTTCGAACGCTGGTGAGGGCATAGTTGGCTTTTCCTGTTTTCTGCTTCCAAAAAACCTAATTACTCTAGATTCTTGCCCATCCGATTGTCAGAAGTCATCAAGATAATGTTTTTCATCCTAAAAAAATAACCTGATAGCATTCCGTGTATATTTATTCACTTTCAAATGAAATGAACGACTTCTAATATTGTCTTTTCAAAGGAATTAATATCTTCTTTTCCAGGCACTTTTCTGTTTAGCTAGCTTGATGCTGGCACGCTTTGTCATCTATAAACAGAAAATGAGTCCCTGCTGCTTTCCTGAAAAATACCAAATATAATATTTCAAATTCGGCATTTCCAGCTGTTAGAATTTTCCTGTGTCGGCTATTACAATTTTTTTCTTTGACGCTATGGTAAAAGTGTAATGAATCAAGATTTATGTATGATCTATAGTGTATGATCCATGTATACCAGCCGTGGCCAACCTTTTCGAGGAAGAGTGGCCACTACCTGAAAAACAAAAGTTGCGCGTACCACTTCCATCATTTCCAACATATTAAAAAGATGAAAAAATGTTATCTATAGGCTGATAAGCAAAGAGCAAGAGCAAAGAGCACATTAAGTAACTCTGAGTAGAAGACATTTAAAAAATAATATAATAAATCAAACAAACGTTCAAACGAGAGTTTTATTATTAATAAACATTTTTAAATGTTTAGTCAGTTAGGTTATGTATAAAATAAAAATGAATAATTTGAAACATTTAATTCTAAATAACTATTAAACAGTCAGTACTTAATTAACGTGGTTTTTGAATATGTAGTTTTTTTTTAACCAAGTCGTCTACATTAAGATTTGTTCTTGATGATGCTAACACAATTAGGTGTTTTAAGTGCATATAAATTATATGTTCATAACAGAAAACATTTGTTCACAAACATTTGTTGATCCAAACCTAGAACAACAGTGTGACGGACTGTCGCTATAGTGAAATAAACATAAACTATAATCAAAGAGTTATTATATTTATTCTAGTGTGTTTATGTGTGTATCTATCGAAGGAGTTGATAAAGATGATAGATACTGTCCCGTGAATACAGATACTAATCCAGTGAAGCATCCTAGAGAGGCTCATGAATCAAAATACATGATCATTTCTTGAGGAATAGTTATGAATGCGATTTCTTCCATTTTTATCATTTTCAGAAGAGGAAGCTATAAAAAACAGAGAAAAAAAGTAAAAAATGAAATAAAGTACTGTTTATTGTATTAAAGATTTTTCTGTATTATTTACTGTCGCATCCAAAGCTATACAAAGTAAGCTTGCTCTTTTACCAATACACCTTTCGTCCACCTTACGAAACTTGAAATTTCCTGTGAAACCGTTTGCAAACCGAAATAGCATAAAGTTAGGAAGTTATTATCATTTATTAATACGACCAAAAACTTTGAGTATTTCTAGAATTTCAAAGAAAAGTTCAAAATAAAATTTTAAATGCTTAGTCAGAATGCCTAGCTGTGTTAAAAAAAGTAAGGGAAAATACTAATTTATCTGTCACCTTGTTTTCCCACTTTCTTTCCAGAAATAACAAATTTATAACCATACACATGAAAGGTCTAGTTCAGCAGATTTAATATCTGCTTGATGAATATTCGCCCAAAAGAATTTTCTTCCAAAGAATACTCCCAAATCAGAGGAAATATTTGTGGATAAGATAAAAACTATCGTTGTATGCATATCCCATCAAATTTTATTTTATTTGCAGTTCTTATAACGAAACTGTAAATGTGAACAAATATATATAAAAATCAAAATGGTATTTTGAAAATATCTTATAATCTTCAGCAAAAGTACAAAGTTCTTAATAATCTAACACTAGTCCCAACAGATGAATAGATTGCACTATTTCGCGGCAAAATCCTGAGAAATCGGTAGATATTCTACGTAATTTATAGATACTATTAGGTTTTTTTGGGGGGAAGCAAGAGACGTGAAAATGAACTTTGCCGTCACCGAGATTGGAACCACTAATCTTCTAGCAGTCCTAAGCACTCCTAGAAGATTAATACTAGAGATATCCACTAATCTGAAGTGCTAATCACTTATGCCATGAAAATATATACAAGAAAACGCGAATATATATACAAGAAATACATAAGCCATGAAAATATATACAAGAAAATTCCTTACAAATTAAAAAATTTCGAACACTTGCTTTAAAAATGCCGTGCCTCTCACCATTTTTTAGAAATAAATTTCTTTTTTTTTTTCAAGATGGAATGGTATTTTTAAGCAGAAAACGCACTATTGTCGATCTGAAGATTGTATCATAAATCAACAACTAAGTTATAGAATTATCATAAAATACAGTAACCGTAAGAAATAAAATAACAAGTTTTAGCAGCTTTGAGCGAAAATATTACGATCATGATTCCAAGAACTGATAATTAAACTTAAGCTCTCAGAAAATTCGAGTGCTTTTATTAACTCATCCAAAATAAATTTTAAAATTTTGTTTCCTAATTTATATTAATTCCCTTTTGTATCTGCAATTTATGCTGTAAGTACAAAAGGGACTGCCTGCAAATTCGATTGTTACTTAAAAATATAGCCTTCTTAAATCATGAGTGGAATCCTTTTATTAATCAAAACTCTATGACGTTATTGAAATTTTCTATAATCATTCAAAATTCTGATTTTCTAAACATGTACGTGTTATATCAGCGATTTACTGTAATTATGTAGAAAAGAAGAGCGTGTTGCTAAATACCTGGTCAACCTATTTAATCACGGATAATCACAAATATTATTGGAAACCCTCTATTTTGAATAATTCTACACAGTAGTATTTACTCAGTTCCTTATTTTCCTGGAAGATAGAAGATGTCTGAAGTCTTATTAGCTATAAAAGGGTTTTTGTAAAAATGTAAAAAGCGTATGAGCGAAAGCTGCTGCTGTAGCAACTGCAGTGATAAAATCAAACCACTGGCTGGTATAGTATGCGCAGATTGTATAGTGGTTAGTAATGCCGATTGCCTTATCGATGGGCCCAGTTTGAATCCCAGAGAAGACATAGATCTTTGTAAGCGAATCGTGTCTATGCGGCAAGGGAACATCCAAAATACACGGTAATTCGATATTAGTTGATTGCAAGTGCTCAGTTGTACTTTCATATAATATAGTCATTTCTTCCATCAAAGTCCGTTCGAGAAGTTGGTGGTAGAGGAAGGACGCCGCGTGGAGTGTTCTCTCCCATAACTGGGGTAGAACTGCATAGTTAGTGCGGTAGGACTATACCTGTACAACAATAGTGTATTTCTGGTACTCCCGCTTCTACCCGTACCTCTACTTATAAATTCAAAGTCTTCACTCCTGTTCTCTGTTCTAAGTATATTGTAACGAATACTGCTACATATTTTTGTGCAGCGATTGGCATTTTGTTATCCGTGCTGCTTACTTTTATAATATTTATTATTTGATTAGGGCAGTTTCAAGGCATTTTGCAGCCCGGTGCAGTCTTTATGGTCCTAAATTTGCTGCCCGGTGCCTCCCTATTTTCTAAAAATTTTGGCGCTCTTAATTTCTCCTTATTAGTGCGTCCCTCAAATTCTACAAATTTTGCTATTCTTAAATTTAATTACTCGGTATTTGTCTAAATTTGAAATTTTTTTTTCTGTGCCTAAATGGCCGTTGCAACCCTCGCAACCGGCTGTACTGGCTCTGAGGACGGAAGTGCATTTGATTTGTCTCCACGGTTCAGAAAACGAGGCTGTTTCCGATCAAAATTACTAGAATACAGCTAAGCAAAATCGTACTATCACAATTGATCTTCAACGTCTATGACAATTGTCTGGTCCAGATGCATTCATCCATCAATATTCATTAAGCCTAGCCATGTGGCTGACCTTCTGTTTGGGTTTAATAATTCATTAAACATTATCTCATTAAAACAATAATGCTGATGCAAAACTAACACTATTATTTTCATTTGGCAATATTAAAAGATTTTGTTGCATATTTGAGTCTTCATTTAAGGAATAGGCGAATTGCTCATATGTATGTTATATATGTATAATGCTTAAAATGATACTTTTTGAAGGAATTGTTTTTCACCTTTCTGCTTTGTATGTAATTTAGTGACACTAAAGAGGCATTTTTAAATAGTATTTGAAAATCGGGTACTATTCGGTTTTGAGGGCCGTAAAAAATCGCCAAACTATTCTTGATGCCAGTGCTGCCAAAAATAACTGCGGCAACCCTAACGCAAGAAAGAAAGTATAATAGTAAATAATTATCTAAGATTGATGTTTTAATTTAGATGCAAAGTTAATTTCATATAATACTTTTTATTATTATAATTTATATAAAAAAGGCTAAACATGACTGAATGGATGCCTGTATCGCTATTTCTCTACCGAGTTATCGCTAAAGCATAATTCCATCTCGTTGGTTGTTCAAACATAATTCTCTATAACGAATGATGTCTTTTCTTTGAAAAAATTATCGGTAAAGTGCAGAATCTCCTACTCATTTGTTTGCCGCTTTTTACAAAGGTAAAAACAATTGGATTTTTGTCAATTTTCTGTCACTTTTTAAGTGAAAATAGGTCGAAGTGCACATAGGAAAAGTCAAAGGTGTGCGCAGGGCCATTTTTGTGCAATTTTGGGATTTTTTTTTTTTTTTTTTTGAAGTGAAAGCAGGTTGATATGTACATGGATACCGAGTATGTGCAATTCTTTAAAACGCGTCAAGCAGTTTGGGTGATTCTGCCATTTTATGCAAAATTCTATTGCAGACTTTTCGTCATGGACAATTCCCATATTGTTAAATCCATAGGTTAAAAAAGGATTTAAAATCAAAAAATATTTTAAAATTAAACTAGTATTTCAATGGCGTCTTAAGAAATATAGAAGTATATATACTTACGCAATTTGAAATCAGCGCGTATGCTAGATTTGGCGCGCTGTTAAATGGGCGCGTTTGTTAGATTTGGCGCTTTTGAGCATACATTTTTGCTGCATTTTTTTACGGTCCTCAAAACGGAATAGTACTAAAAATAGTTTTATATTGATGAATTTGTGAAATAAAGCTTTTTTTTTTCGTAAAATAAGTAAAGTAAGTACTACAGCGTACTAATGAAAATACTAAGTTTTTTTTTTAAATTGCTTTAAATTAAAATCATATAAAAACTTCTATGTAAATGCAGAATTGAGTGTATTTAAATTTCTTTCTATTTCAGGTGTCATGTTTCCTTATTACTTTTTTTTTTGTTTTATTTATATTTATTAGCTCACAAGGGCTATTAGTCCCGAAACACAGTTTTGCATTTTTCCACTTTTCGTTTGAGTCTATTGCCATTCGGCAAACGTGAGATATTATTCCTTCAAATTTAATCTATCCATTATTAATTAACAAGCTAAATAATTTGAAAGCAATGCATTCAATTCGTAAGAATGATATTTTTATAATTTTAATCTGACTGATTAAAATCAAAATACATTAAATTCATGATATATCTAATTTAAAACATTAAATATTTTTTTTATAATTACATTATATATTTTTTCATTTTTTAAACATACAGATATATAATTCACGTTAGTTTAAATATATATTCATCTAATAAGCTATAAAATTCTCCATTCTACTTGGGGCCTATCAATAGTCTCTACTGATAACGAGCTTTAAAAGAGCGCTTTTGGACATCCGTTAAAATCTTAAATTTATTTTTAATTTCATTTTTCACTTTTACTTTTAATCAATAATGGGGATTCGAAAATGTTGTCCCATCAGAAATTCCAAAACTTGTAATTGTGAATAAATTCTCATTTATCTCACCGTTCTTTCCGCCAGTGTTGTTCTAAAATCAATCATGAGTCACAGACTAGATTACAATCTATGCTTGTGGCACAAACATTTATTACACTTTATTTTACAGGAAGAAACTTGAAGGCTTCAGCGACTAATTACATTATCGTCAAAATAATCACAGCTATCGGTTATAGTAAAAGACAGGAAGTTAGTTGCTCAGCGATAAAGGCTTCTATCGTAACAGTACTTTCTTAGCCTTTGTATGTATTTTTGCCTGACGGCAAGAGTGGCTTATCCTTCCATCTTTGATTTTGGTCATGCAAACTCGAAATCTAACATAAAGGAAAAGGAAAACATTAATAAACGTGTTACAATAAATAAAATTAAAATGGGAAGTAAACTAAACAATCAGTGAGTTTGACAAATAATTGCCTCTCAAAATACTCTGATACGATAGATACGATAAGTCAATAACGATACGTAAGTCAATAACGATTCACTAAAACTCCAAGTTGTGTGATAAAAAACATTTATTACACCGTAAGTACATCGAAACTCAATATGTACATCTTTAAATATCACAAAAAGAAAAAGATGCTTTTTTATATCTCAAAAAACAAAGCACAACTTAAACGAAAAAAAGAAAAGAACAGAATTAGCAAAATTTTGCTCTTGCCAGAACCTCACTAGTAAAAATCGAACAGTTACAAATTCGTGAAAATGAAATTCAGCATGCATCATTCAAAAGTAAAAATAAAATATAAACAAAATAATAACTTACGTTTGCAACTATTTGAAAGATACAGTTTTTCACAGAATTCATAAGTTCAGTCTATAATGAGTCTGCTAATGAGTCCTAACGAGTCTGCTCTTTCCAGTAACTTGCTGACTAGATCTCATATCGGAGTGTCTTCTTGACAGCTCGGGCATTAGTACTTGGGGGAAGCTTCGAGTCATCAGGGAATCTCTTCGAAATTGTTCGAGGAGGTATATTAGTTCCAAGAGAAGCACATTTTGTTCGGATGTTGCCACATTCCTCAGTAGATAGGATATAGTCTTTGTATTATGCGTATCAAAAATCCGCTCTCAGTCTTAGTTTTAGGCACCATAACTAATCCATCTTCATCGGGATATACTCCCACTATTCTAGCCAAAGGCCAACTGATTCTTCTTTGTTACCATGTTCTTTCAGATCAATATCCCCTACAACAATTTTCTTATTCTTTTTGGTCATTCCTTTGGAACTGTTTAATTGTCCTACGTATTCGACTCTGAATCTGCTACGTAAATCTCTCTTCATCCTTAGCCAACATCAATGTCTTCTTTCTAAATTTACGTTTCTAGTTTATTTAGATCCGAAAGTCCAGTTCCGTAATTCCTTGCAAAAACATACTAGGAGTCAAGGAAACCAAGTCATCAACATCTTCGGAGATAGTATTTAAGGGTCAATATTACAGATATCCATGTAGAGTCCTTCAAAATCTAAGGCTGCTCGTCCCAATACTCTTCTAAAAATTGCCTTGTGCAGCCTATTAATTGTTCCCATCAGCCAACTCACCATGGTGCTGCCGGAGGACTGAATCTCCATGTTATATTCTTTGTAACAGCTTCACTACGAATTTTTGCATTCGCAAGATTAGCAAATAAGTTTGAAGCACCAGAAAAAATCATGCCTCGATTCACTGTACATCTTCTCGCAATTAATCTTCTCAACGTTTTCAAAAATGCTTTTGTTGACAATAATGTTAATGACTCCAGGAGCACTGTTCTGTCAACTGCACAAGTTTACAGCACGATCTATCATTTCCACCTTGTCTCAAACATAATGGACCAGCTATTTATATGTTAAAAGCGATTATCTCAAACTTAAAAAAATATGAAATCGGATTATAACTTTTTGGATGCCAAAACTCCAAAGTCAAAAGCAATAATAAATCTTGGACGTAGAAAATCCCGCCACCCAACGGTAAGAATGACTCAAATGGGTACTAAAAATGATACACATGATATCTATATATTTTTTAATAATGTGACAGTCATTTCTTATTTTTGCATCTCATTTAAAATATTATGTCTTAGTATTAATTATAGCTTTTTTTTTATTTCGATAAAAGGTCCACTGAAAAAAAATCATAAAAAATATACATGGTGATTGATCAAATAGACCAGGATGATTTCACGTTCATTTTAGACTTCTCAAGGAGTAAATTACATCTGATGCCATTCTGATTCCTTTACTCACAAAACTATTTATTTAAAATTAGGGTTTGAATAACTTTATGAATAAAATTTGTTTTAAATTAAACAAATATGATTATTGCCTGATATACAAGCAGACTTATTAACATTCTCTTAAATAAGTTCGGAAAGATTTATACGTGTTTATTATGATTTACACTCGGTGGCAACATTAATCAATGTTTAATAACATGGAGTGAAGGATAAGGAAAATATTTCCAAATTTAAGTCAAGTATATAAATCTAAACCTTTGTTTTCGTGATGCTATTTGATATACTTTAAAATTTATATTACATTATCTAGCAGTTATTGACGACCTAATTTAAATTCTAGGTAAGAGATTTATAATTTATTTTTGCTTTGTATATATGTCTCATAATCTTAAGTAATGTGCAATAATATCTAGAATTAATATCTCTTATGCTTATCGAAAGAACTTGTTACAAACAGTATTTATTTAGAAATTAGTTCCACTAATCACCCTCGAATTAAACGAAAAACAATTTATATAGAACAAAATGTCACATTTAAAACATCGAGCGTGTATTACATTTATGCACTTGAGAAATTGCATCTAAACCTACTAAAGTGGCAAAACTACTTTAAAGTGGAAAGCCTAGCGCTGAAAAGTTGTTACTTTACGAAAGTGCCCACTATTTGATCGAATAAAATTAAATAAAATTCTTTTTTTCGTTTTGTAAGCCTGAAATACTATGCATACACTAAATTGAATTTATTAAAATGAATGCCATTAATAAACGAAATAAAATCAGTATTGGGAAAAAATTAAATCTAGAACAGCGTTTGTCAAACTTTTCCCAAGTGGGAACCACTTTCATAAATTAGAATGTTCTGCGGGCAATGTTATTCTTGTACCTTTCAAAATAAAATTTTTAGCCTATGTTATTACCAATATTCTTATATTTTAAAAATAGAATTAATCAATATTAATTTAAATTTTATCGGTATTATTCAATTAATTAATAGAAGAAAAGTTGTATTTGTTTTTAATAATTCAAGGTTATTAGAATTTGGAAAAATTTTAGCTTGTAAACTAAAACTTCAGTACTCACGTTAATGATATGAATGAGTATGCCGATTGGACTGGATGAACATGCCGAATGGAAAATTTTAGCTTGTAAAAAACTAAAACTTCAATACTCGCATTAATGAGATGAATGAGCTTGCCGATTCTTGCACACCTGTTTTATGTTTGAATTTTGCTGATAAGCCTAAGTTTGAGATTTGCACATGCATCAAGTCAGTTCCAACCATTCCTTTTTATCCGAATTAGCGATGAAAACTCTTTCTTACACAGATGCGCAGGAACAAAATGAATTATAATTTTTAGAGCACCGTTCTATAGTTCAGTATATTCTGTTTTCACTGGTAATGAGCTTCAGAAATTAACCATATTGTTTATAATTTCATTTTAAGCTCGATATTATTACATAGTTAAATTAATTTTCATTCAAGGACAATCTGTTATTTTCAAAATCACAATGGAAAACATGAATTCATGAAAATTTGGTACTGTTCTGTTATCAAAAGCGGATTCAGAAGTGAATGCATGTACGTATGTATGGATGGATGGATGTGTTCATGTATTCAGGTGTTAATGTACATACGTATGTATGTGTATGTATACACACACATATAAACACATACATGCATATACACGTGCATATATAAGATACATTTCTGAGTCCGATCCAGATAACAGAAGAGTACCTAAAATGTTGCACATTTTGTAATATTTACACGCTTTTGTTAAACTGAACCAGGTTTTACAATACTTTAAACTGTACCAAGTTTTACGGTTTGCATCTAATATAAAACACACCTGAAAAAATATTTTCCAGTAAATAATGCACTTGCCATAAATTGAGTTTTAAAAACTTCAGTGCATTAATAAACCATCAGAGTTTTAGAAATAAATGCATTCAAGCGCAAAATTTTGTAACATGAAATTCGTTTACAAAATACTACTTGCAACATAATAAATCATATGCTTGAGTTTTCTTTAAAATGTAGAGTTGCGCGCCTCCAACTTGCACGCAACCAAGAGGTGACTGTTGAAACTGGAAAATAGACAGAGTCTTGCTAAGGGGTTTAAGTCCCTTTTTATTCAACTTAAGAAATTACAATTGCGTGCTCTTGATGCTCACAAACTACGCCGACCCGGCGGTAAAATAAAAATAAGAACCTGAAAAGAAAATAATAACAAGACTCTAACTACGAGGCTCTCTAAAAGTAACTACCCTCACCGCGTTTTACAATACCGCTGCTAATTCAGCAAACTTTGAATATCACGTTGAACGATTAACAATCTCCGAGGCAAGCACACAGGCCGAAACGCGGGGTTCTTCAATTTCTGGCTAACTACCTCCGCGCTTGTGAAGTAAGAACAGCACACCTCGAACTCGTTTCCATTCTATTTAACTCAGAAAATAGATTCCGCTGATAATTTGAATCCTTGCGCGTTCTACTAAAATTTACATACTCTGGCATTGGCAGTTCCAGGGGAAAGTAAGGCTTGACAGGAAAGATAGTTTAAACTTAAAATAAATGTTAGTTAAAATAAATATAAACCCTACAAAAATATTATTATTATTACTATTAGTTTTTATTTAAAATATTATTATTTATAGTTGTACTTCAGTTATTTCTCCGGGGCCACCAGCAGCCGAGCGGTAAACTCGCTGAACACTGGTAGTTCGGTCCGAGGTTCGAATCCCGCGAACGGGCTGGCTGCATGGGCGTTTTCGTGATTTTCCCTATGTGTAACGTGTATACGAGACAATTTCCCTTAAAAATTCCTCCACGAAGGCATCCCTTCCCTTACGCAGATAGCCCTAGTGTGCTTTGCCATAATTAAATAAATCAAACCAATCAGTTGTTTTTCCATTTCTTTTATTAGTTCATTACATCTGGATAGTTATTTATTATACATCTAGTTATGTTAGGTTATTTGAATATAGCAAAGTAACTAGGGCTATCTGCTAAGAGAAGGGATGCCTTCGTGGAGGACTTTCTAAAGCGATTGGCAAATATTCATGTTTCACATGGGGAGAACTATAGAAACAAACCATGCAGCCAGCCCTTTCGCCTGGGATTGAATCCAAGCCGAGTCGAAATACCATCATTTAACGGTCTTAACGACTCCGACACTGGTGGGGCCATTGTAAATCTGGATAGTTATTTAAATGACAAGATTTCCCTCTTTTGAGGATCTCTAAAATTTCTCCATTTCATTACTAATATTTTGTAAGTATGAGTAAATATAGACGTAAGAAAGCTTTTTTTCAGAACTATAAATTCCGTATTTTAAGTTTTTTCTTCATCCTAACAAACTCTAATAACATTTCGTGCAGTATATGTCCAAACTTTAGTGTCCATGCCTTTAAATCATTCGCACAAGCTTAGTTTACATCAGAATGTTTTGTTTAGGAGTTTCACAACTACAAAACGCATTTACAATATGTTTTTACTTTTGCAGCTGCTCGAAAATTAGTACGTTTTTGCTGTTCACAGATTTTTAATTATCCGAAACTTTGTCCTCAGGTCCTGAGGATAAAGTTTCAGGTAATTAAAATCCACATCTTAACCGCAGGGCCTTTTACGAATGTTATATATATATTTTTTAATTATGGTTATTCTTTTTCAAACATAGCTTCTTATATTGCTCAGGGTCTTCAGGTTTCTTATTTCAACAAGAGAAAACATAATATTTCCCCAGCGAAACAAGGTTCAATAATATGGTAAAATTCAGTTAAAGAATACTCAGTACTTCAGGGTATCAGTATTGGCCTAGTGCGTATTGTCTAAAAATACATTTATGATTGCCATGAAGCGTTCTTTTGACTCTGGATTTCACAAAGCCTGTGATAATGCTATCCTCGTTTCATAGTATTTCCCCCATTTGGAAAGCTGATAATCATAGCAAAGGAAGGTACACTGCGAGAAAAAAACTATCTCCCATTCTGCTGGGTCGATTGACGAAATTCAAATTGCGTTTTTCATGTCTCGAAAGCGCGATTTAGGATATATATTAGTTTTATATATAGCATTGTTCTTATATAGGTATTTTGACACAAAATAGGACTTTTTCTGAAATTACATGCCAATTTTTTTTCGTATTTCGATTGTACAACTCATATTATGCCTAAATATTAAATTTTGTAAAATTTGGTGCGAAATTTACGGAGAAATTCAAAAATTCCTCTTGGCGCATTTTTTTCGGTTTCTGCCAAGAATAATTCACTTGCCGAACTTCTTTACTTATAACAACCTATTTTCCTTTTTATCATTGTACACGAAAGGAAAAAATATCATCGTTTATACTTTTAAATAATTTTAACAAACTGAGTAAACCACATTTGGCGTTATTATCACTTATAACATGTATGCCAAATTTCAAAACGCGCCAGTATGTAAATTTATGTATATCTTATAAAAACTTTTGAATCAAAAACTCTAATTTTTTTCAGGTGTGCCTAGAAATACATCTACTTTAAGACGATGTGCAAAATTTTATAGGTTATAATAAAAAAACGTTTTCGATATCTCGCCAAATTACCGAGATACCTATTTACCCAATGTTAAATGGATTTGCTCCTGTATTCTTAATTTTCCGGCATAACTTGTCTCTCTAGACTTTTTTATGTTACATTACACCGAAATATACAACAGTTTCACATATAACTCACTGAAATCATCTATCTATGTAAAATATTCGTAACAATATGTTAGAGCCTATCTAGGACCTACTCCAAGATGGGCGATTCTGGTAGCCGCTTTAAATGGATATCAACCAGGTTTTTTTCTGAAGAGTTATCATTGTGAAGAAACAAGCGTAAAGTTCTAATGTACTATGTAGTCAAGCATAGCGGCCGGGAAGGCGATTTTTGAACACCCCCACTGAAATCTAAGTTTTTTAAAATGTGTGTGTGGGGGGGGGGGTGTTGTGTAATTTGAAGAAAAAGGCTAGAGGGCGCTGTTGCTCGCTTAGTTGTGGAGAATAAAGTTTGTTCATGTTGAAGGCGGCGGCCTAAGAATACGCTCTGTATATAATAATTAAAATATTATTAAAACGTAAAAGTGTTAAAATTAGTAAACCCACTGAACCACCATCATCTGATTTGGAGATGCACATAATTATTAGATGGTGCATCGGCGTAAGGAATTAAGGCTTTGTGAAGATTTTTGGGTGTTCGATCCAAGTGTTTCGATTTCAATGGATATTTCATATTCAAGGGCCAATGGAATTCCAAATAAAGGTAGGGAAATCTTAAATTAATTATTTAGTGATTATTTGTAGTACATTAGTAAGT